AATTCTTGTAGGACACTGATTGCACACACACACACACACACACACACACACACACACACACGTGTAGTGAGGGGATCAGCATGGCAAGTCAGAGAAGGATGCACATCTGTACAGACTGTGCTGCTCAAAACGAAGGCCTCGAGCCACACGTGGCCGCTCAGCACATGAAGGGAGGCCAGCCCCCACGGAGATGAGCTTAAGCATGAAATGCGTACCACATTTCAAAGGCTGAGCGCAAGGTGGGAGCCCGGGTGGCACAAGTGCTCAGCTGTCAACTGAAAGGTCGGTGGTCTGAACCCCCCAGTGGGTCCACGGGAGGAAAGACCTCGCCATCGGCTTCCGAAAAGACTGCTGTTGTCAACCGCCATCGAGTCAGTTCCGATTCACAGCGACCCTGCGCACGACAGAAGCCAACACTGCCCAGCCCTGCGCCATCCTCACAATCGCTGTTACGTTGGAGCCCACTGTTGCAGCCATTTCATTGAGCGTATAACTGCCCCATAGGGTTTTCTAGGCTGTAATCTTTACGGAAGTACGGAAGGACCTATTTCCGTAAAGATCACAGCCTAGAAAACCCTATGGGGCAGGTCTACTCTATCACATGGGGTCACCATGAGTTGGAATTGACTTGATGGCACCTAACAACAACCACCCGCAGGGGAAAGATGTAGCCGTCTGCTTCCATAAAGATTACAGCCCTGGAAACCCTATGGGGCAGGTCTACTCTGTCCTGTAGGGTCGTTATGAGTTGGAAGCAACTCAACGGCAATGGTTTGGCTTGGTTTTGGTTAACAACAACAAAGTATAAGAAAAAATGCAAAATATCTCAATAGTTTTTATACTGATAACATGTTGACATAATACCTTACATATACCAAGCCAAATAAAATATATTATTAAAGTTGATTTCACCTGCTCTTTATTTTTTAACATGGCTACTGAAATTTTTTGTATTATATTTATAGCTTGTATTACAGAAAAATAGTTTAGATAAGATGGCTATGCTTGATCAAGTCTTTCCCCAGACCACTTCTCAAAACAGTAGAAGGGAAAAGACAAGTGGATGAGTGGGCAGACCACGGGCTCTGGAAGCCAGCAGACCTGGTTACTCCCAGCTCCATCACCCACTAGCTGTGAAGTCCAGGGAAAGCCACCTTAACTTCTCCAAGCCTCCTACTCTTCAACTGTAAAATGGGGACAAAAATAGCTAAGGCTGCTGTGAGGATTAGACAACACACCCTTGCTACAGCGCGTGCTACATCATAGCGCCGGTGGAGGGGCGCCCGTGGAGAGGCACTACTATCCCCCCAAGTGCCTAACCTGCAGGGAAGAGGAGACCGGGCACCCCTCTGATGGTTACCCTTGTATCCACATTTTTCCCACCCACCACCTCTCAACTCAGCCATACCAGTCAAAGCACAAAGCCTACCTGAGTCACACTTAGAAAAATGTGTTCCTTAAACTGCCCACTCATATCAGAAAAATAACGACCCTACCTGGTGTCCAGGATCCAGCCTGCCAGGAGAAACCACCTAGTCAGGTGCACCCCAAAACTCTGTGCCACTGCAAGCCAGGCCCTCTCCCACCGCCTCAGGGAGTCACTCAAGTTGTCATTAGGGATCACTGCACTTCATACATGGATCAAATTCCTGTCTCTATAGAAATCTCTGTAAAGTACAGAAATGTAGGAAACTTATTTTTTTTAAAAAAAAATAAGCAAGCACGGGTTTTCTGCTTTGAGGAAATCAAAGATCCTTTCCTAAGGTACAGCGTCTAAGAGCCCCCGCCAATTGAAGCTTCGCTGCAGGGCCGCACGCAGAGAACTCGGTGGAATGAGGAGGGAGGCAGAAACCTTTGCAGGCTTACCTGGGAGGGCCGAGCGCGGGCCAGCTGCTTCTGCAGCATCGAGTCCGTTAACAAGGAAGGGACGGCGTCAGGCTGGGTGCGTGCGGTGCTGGGGCCTCACATGCAGGTGCTACCCTGGCCTGTTAAACCACCCGAGCGGCCGAGCGGTCGTCCAGAAGGGGTGTCCGACTCTGTAGGATGAACAGCGAGATCGTCACGGGAGGCCGACTCTCCCCCCACCACCTGCAGCACAGAGATTCCCACCACCACCTCTCCCCATCATCGACCAGGAACAAATCGTCATCAAGGCTACAGGAATGCCCACAGCACAGGACTCCCCACAGGAGAAGTGGGGAGGAGGACCATACCAACAGGTACACATTATTGTAACGTCCGCCACTGGAAAACCCTGACGTCTGCTCGCTATCTTAACCCTGACACCAACGACAACCCCAGTCAAGAGATCTCCCCACTCTCTAGCCAACGACAGCCTAACTCGCATTCCCAAAGAGCAAGAGGTAACAGACAACAATCCCTCACGTCTGGGTTTCATGAACCAGTAAAATGTCAGGAAAAAAAAAACGAGAGAGCAACGAGTTGCCAAGTTTTTACTTTGCTAAGGGTGAGATTTTTCTTTAAATTGCCATCCACAATCACTATGATTGCATAAAATTAAGGTACTCAAAAAAAAAAAAAAGAAAAAACTCCCTGTGGAAAGGCACAAGCATCCACAAACGTACCGACCACACAGCAGTGGACCCCACGTTCTCATGACTCAACTTCAACCGTTTCTGCATACAACCAACTTTGATTCATCTGCCCATGCCCAGATTATCTGAAAGTAACTTTCAGACATATCATTCCGCCCCAAAATACAAGCATAGCAACACACAAGAACCCATACGTATACAGAAAGAGTGGAGCCATGGTGGCACAGCAGTTAAGAGCTCGGCTGTTAACCAAAAAGTATGCAGTTCGAATCCAGCAGTTGCTCCTTGGAAATCCTATGGGGCAGTTCTACTCTGGCCTACAGGGTTGCTATGAGACGGAATAGACTCGACAGCACTGGGGTTTACAGAGAGCGAGCGAGTGAGCAAGGGAGAGCCCCGGTGGCACAACAGTTAAGTGGTTCGAACCTACCCAGAGGCTCAGCTGGAGAAAGACCTGGCAATCTGCTCCCGTAAAGACTTCAGCCTAGAAAACCTTATGGGGCAGTTCTACTCTGTAACCGTCAGAATTGCCTCAATAGCATCCAACAACAACATACGCATGTATATGTATATGTGCTCATTATGTGTATGTATATATATGTACATACACACACACGTATATATATGAATAATAAACACGGTCTCAGAATAAGGAACAAATCTGTAAAGACATTCAGCTTTATGAAAAACTCTCCACAACATCATTTTGTCAAGACTCACACCTCAGAACTTCGTCACGATGCACATGGGTCCACGGTCTGTTAGCCAGAAGATAATGAGAATTTGGGAGTTAAATGGCTTTGTTGTTGGTAGGTGCTGCCAAGTCGGTCCCAATTCACAGTGACCCTATGTACGACAGAACGAAACACTGCCTGGTCCTGCACCATCCTCACAATCGTTGTTATGCTTCAGTCCACTGTTGTAGCCGCTGTGTCATTTCATCTGGTTGAGGGTCTTCCTCTTTTTCGCTGACCCTCTGATTTACCAAGAGTGATGCCCTTCTCCAGGGACTGGTCCCTCCCGACATGTCCAAAGTAAGCCATCTTTGCTTCTAAGGAGCATTCTTCCAACACAGATTTCCAAGTCAGATTTGTTGGTACTTCTGGCAGTCTAGGTATATTCAATATTCTTCGCCAACACCGTAATGGCTTTAACCCAACTGTGTTTAACGGCTTTAACTCAATTTAATTCGAGATCAGTAACTTAAAGGACACGTATCCCATAACCCACTCCTGAATGTGGAGTCAGAGACTTCTAACCATTTTTTGAGTTTTGGCAGAAAGAACAAGCTCTACTTCATCCATCCCACCTCCAACATTAAGCAATAGCCTCAGAATGGCTACAGAAACCCAAAGGACCATGTCCTGTAATCAATCATCAGCAAACCCTTTGAAGAACACATTTGGTAACACAAACACTCTTCAAAACTCACTAAGGACAGCCTCTCCATGTCACATTTCTCATGGTCCAGGAAAGAATCATACTTACAACCATACTTAACATACAACGTATGTTTATACTTTCAAAAGTGCTCAAACACAGCTGTCTTAAAACACCATTCAAGCACATTCTCTCTCCCTCCTCAGTTTCCAGTATAAACTGCACTCCAGACTCACGCCATCAGCCACGTGCTGCGGGGGGAGTATAAGAGGACAGACCCAAGCTGCGGCCTCCCCAAGGCCCGCTTTTAAAGGGAGGCCTCCGGAGTGTCTCTGCAGAGCGCCAAGCCCGGCTGGGAAAAGGGCAAATGAGCATCTCTCTCCTTGAAGGCTGGTTCTTGGCATCCATTACTGAAACTGAACTCTGAGCACCGAGCTATTTCTCTGCTCAGTTTTAGGCTGTTACTCTAGCACCTACCAGCCCAAGAGAGACCCAATCCCACCCGAAAAAAGCCAGTGGTGTTTTAAAAGCCCAAGTCCGCCCGAGCGCTCAGCATCGCCTTCCTGATCGTGCCCACGGGGTTACCCTCTCCACGGTGCTCACCGCGCGCTTACAGAAAGCGCATGAGCCCCGCTCTACCGCTCGCAGAGCGCTCTCCGAATCTGACACAAGCCCTTCCAGAGAGGCCGGCTCTGCGCAAACGATGCTTCGAGGGCAGAGACTGCGCCCAACGAGACAAAGGCCGCCG